GTTGGCCTTAGTTCAAAAGTCAAGTTGTTTGTTCTGCTCCCTCCAGCTGTCCCTCTGATTGAGCATTGCTCAGAACCAGCAGGGAAGGTTTTCCACTAGAAATGAACATATGGCTGAATGGTGACCCCCTCCCTCATTCTTTACTGATTGATCTCCACAGTGACAAGTAGCATTGCAACCACAAATCTGTTGGAAACCAGGTGACGTCTTTGACTTCAGAAGAGATTTGAATTCCCCTTTTCCCTATACGTTTATCTACATGTAGAGATAATGGAAGCAAAGCAACATAAGTTGCATCCACCCTGCACTTGAATAACCTCTTGAATGGTAGGATCCCACTGGGCACAGAATAATTTAGGTTAAAAGTTGGGTGAAACAAAGACAAAATTCCCTTAAGTTGATGACCTTTTGCAAATCCAATCAGTTTTCCACTTTGATTCACATTGAATTTTGGGGTTGAAATGACATGGAAATAATGTTGATTCAACCAGTTTTTGCCCAGTTGGATGTTGCCAAGTGTTGGTGATAAGGAGACTTTCGGATGAGATACGGTCACATAGGAAGACTGTAAACCAGGCCAGCACTTGGTAACACGTATCTGTGAAGTGTAAATAAGAACACAACCAGTGCAACCTCGGTTCCAATGACTCACAGCTGAGTTTTCTGTATCCTCAACTGATATCTTCTCTGTGTGGAATTTATGGTTGCGAATCTGTGGGTCCAACTATTATCTCCTTCAGATGCCGTTCAACATTAACACAAAATCGTCATTTTTTAACCTTTTTTTACAACACTCTTGCACTGGCTCTATGCACATTCACTAGACTCTACTCACACACTCACATATATTACACTGACACTCCAACACACACAACACACACATGCATATTTATGCAACACACACACTCACACATAGACACACTTTCACACTCTTTCACATACGCTGCTGCTGCTACTCTGTTTATTATCTATCCTGATTGCCTAGTCACTTTTACCCCTACCTACATGTACATACTGTATTACCTCAATGACCTCAACTACCTCGTACCCCTGCACATTGACTCAGTACTGGTAGTCCTTGTATATAGACTCGTTATTTTCATTTTATTGTGTTACTATTTACTTTTTGGGGCGGGGTGGGGGGGGGGGGGGGGGGGGGGGGGGGGGGGGGGTACCAATACATTTGATTTGAATTTACACATTGATTCCAAAAAGTAATCTGTGGTTTTTTCAATTCCTTGAAGTCTGAGTACTCGAGATGCAAGAAGTCAAATTTATAAGCAAGAGATGTTGTGTGTTTAGATGTGTAGATGTTGTTATTTAAGTTCCATGGCCTGTGTTTGTGTACTAGTGCCTATCACTGCCGGGAATTAGGGGGCATTCACCTAGGACCTCGGCCAAACCACCTACACAATACGTAATACAGAAAATAAAGATAAAGCAGTGCCTAATTCAGGGGCCAAATACAGCAATGTCAAATTAATATACTCTTAGAAAAAAAGGTGCTACAGTATCTAGAACCTTGAAGGGTTCTTCGGCTGTCCCCATAGGATAACCCTTTGAAGAACCCTTTTGGGTTCCATGTAGAACCCTTTTTTACAGAGGGTTCTACATGGAACCCAAAAGAGTTATCCTATGGGGAAAGCTGAAGAACCCTTTTGGAACCCTTTTTTCTAAGAGTGTAGATGCCATCTATCCATTTTGGAAAGAATTCGGCAAACTTTGCCACAGATCTTACACAACCGTGACATTGACAATCAGTCAATGACCTTCAGATTTGGCAGACACTAGATCAGGGATATGCTGAAAATACCAGTGGAGGGTTAACATGAACACAAACATATGTATATTTTTTACAGCCATTAAACAAATAAACATCTACCCACACAAACTGAACCAGTCATGCCAACTGGGTGTGAGGCTTTCATTCCATCAATGTGATCTAGGCTATTTCAAGATTTCAAGATCTTTATCTATTTCTCATAGCAACAGAGGACTGCAAAGCCAATAATTGAATTACTGTGTAGATTAGGCTACTGTGTAGATAACATCTCACGTTCAAGTTCATGGAGGACATGTTCAAAGACAGCTACATAAGCATAATATTTCTGAAAATCTGATTGGCATTCGTGCCTAAATTCTCTGCTGTCTTGTACAACAAGGCCTATAAACAATTAGCTCATTGATTTGTCTTCTGCAATTTTAGGAGGGTCTCACGGTAGAAATGGCTGGTGGATGTTTTTTTGTAGAGGAACTAGGCGATGATGCAAAGTGATGATGACACACAGATGCATCTTTCAGATTTTTATTAGGAGCAAAGCCAATGAACAGTCACTGCTCGGCGGCGAAAGCAGAGGATTTCTCTGACTGATTTGCTGCCACCTTATGGTAGATGCGTGTGTTGCATTAGGGGCCAAACAAACTGCATAGACCAGCATACCTTTCAAGCTTGTCCATGCTGGTCTATGGTGATCCATCCTGGTCAGTGCTGGTCTGATGCTGGTCAAGTTGGTTGGACCAGCATGGTCTAGCTGGTCACGCTGGTCTTAGCTGGTCAAGCATATGCTGGTCTATGCTGTTTTTTTAAGCAGGTATTGTGACAATGTTTTTGAAATCAGACAAATACTTTTAAACTATATTATTGTTATTATTGAAAAGGAAACAACAGTAAAAAGCCATCATTTTGGTGGCAAATTAATGGGGGATAAACCCCAACTGAGTGCATATACCTTTTGGTTGCTGTCAATAACATAATGTTGCCCACAACAAAGCAGGATGCATTCGTCAAGGAACCACTTCATTGACACCTCCTCATACTGGAAGACTCCTATTGTTGATGTCATTTGGAAGTGGCACTGCAATACTGTATTAATTGCATGCAAATTAGAGTCTTCAATTGTAACTAATCTGACCTGTGTTCAAGGGAGAAACACTGCCGCTAACTCATTCTCTAACCAAGGTGCATGAATTGAGGAACAAACTGAAGTGAAGTGGAACGAACTCTTCGAGTACAGTGGAAGTGGATAAAGGTATTGTTTTACAGAAAGAGAAAATACATTTTATAATGGCCTACTATGGGCTCAGGGACCAATCACAGTGGGAATACAAAAAAAAACCTGACGTGATTGGTTAAATTGCAGAAATCCGACCAATTATTTTTTACATAGACTGACCAATAGATTGTGGTTACATGTATTTTTCTAAGTTTATTCATGTTTATTACATTTTCTGCAAAATGCATTCATTTTTCCAATGAGAATGTGGAGATATGAAAGCACTAGCATATTGCACTATGAGATTACCTGCCAATGGGATGAAACTGTACTAGCTAGTAAATTACAGTACTGTAAATAATTTGAGGGGCAGTGATTAGATCAAATGAGAGGTGTCCTCTGCATCACTGCCAATGAGAGGTGTCCTCTGCATCACTGCCAATGAGAGGTGTCCTCTGCATCACTGTTGTCCAATCTACTAGTACCGCGATATTTCTGAGTGGTAGGCGGGTGCTACGTGGTTGCTAGGGATGATAGAACCGGAAACTGACTAAAGCGTCCCTGGAAGCTCCATCAGGGGATTCTGATTTGATATGTTGTGGTTGCAGACCCAGTGCAACCAATCTACTCAAGGGAAATTGTCGATTATAATCGCACTTGATTAATCTTGCCCTTACTGGGACAGGAGAATAACTTGTAGTTAGGTAGGTAAATCGTATTTTTTTTGTCCAAGTTGAAGTTTCTAGCTAGCCAATATGCTAACGTTACTACTAACTACAGTAACGTTAGCTAGCTAACGTTTTCCTCTGAGATGTGACACCACCCCGCCTTGGTCTGTCAGGAAACCTAACGTTAGCCAGCGATCTAGCTATAAAACCATGTCGACAGTTATTCTAATTTAAACGGCCAACTAGCTAATGTAGCTAGCTAGCGCGATATGTAGCTAAACTTACGTTAGCTAACTACACGTACTAGCTAGCTAAAAGGTAAATATACTGTAGTTTTAACTCGCTAAGTTAGCTAACTAACGTTAACTCCCGCTACCCTCTTTTAGTTTTAAATTGAAAAGGTTTCCCCTTTTAACTGTGGTAAAGGGTTCTTCATTGTGACTAGCTACACGACTTAGCTAGCCAAAACCCAATAGCATAGACCCAAAGGCAGTGGTGTAATGTACTTAAGTAAAAATACTCAAGTAGTTTTTGGGGTATATGTACTTTACTATTTATATTTTTGACAATTTTTACTAAACTACATTCCTAAAGAATATTAACATTTTCCTGACACCCAAAAGTGTCACAAACTGATTGTCTCAAAGGCATTAAGAAGGAAATAAATTCCACAAATTAACTTTTAAGAAGGCACACCTGTTAATTGAAATGCATTCCAGGTGACTACCTCATGAAGCTGGTTGAGAGAATTGAGACAATGCCAAGAGTGTGCAAAGCTGTCATCAAGGCAAAGGGTGGCTATTTGAAGAATCTCAAATATAAAATATATTTTGATTAGTTTAACACTTTTTTTAGTTACTAAATGATTCCATATGTGTTATTTCATAGTTTTGATGTCTTCACTATTATTCTACAATGTAGAAAATAGTAACAAATAAAGAAACACCCTTGAATGAGTAGGTGTTCTAAAACTTCTGACCAGTATTGTAGTTTATACATTTACTTTAACTTTTGATACTTAAGTATATTTTTGCAATTACATTTACTTTTGATACTTAAGTATATTTAAAACCAAATACTTTTATACTTTTACTGAAGTAGTACTTTACTGGGTGACTTTCACTTTTACTTGAGTCATTTTCTATTAAGGTATCTTTACTTTTACTCAAGTATGACAATTGGGTGCTTTTTCTACCACTGCCCATAGGACTGTACACAAATAGAGGTCCCATATAGGGTTTGGTTTGTAGTGATGCATGCGCTACTTGCAAATTCAATTCAACCAAGCTAAAATGTTCAAATGGCATCTACAACATGACTATTTTCCCCCTAAGTAACCATGACAGCAGCTGCTGCTCTACAAATTGGAGACCAGCTGATCCTGGAAGAGGACTACGATGAGAGCTATATCCCCTCTGAACAAGGTAGAGAGGAAGGATACAGAAGGGCAGTATGGCTCCGTTTCTAGTTGACAGATCAGTAGACTGTATGCTACATTGCTGAAACAGAACTACACAAGCATCAAACACATAGGCACATCTCAAAACCAAGCAATGCTCTGTTTTACATAGATAAGACACATGCTGTGCTTCATGACACGTTCACTAACTTATTTTGGTTGTGTGAGAAGTAATGTAATGTTAGCTGGATATTTTCCTCACTGCTTTCTTCCCCTCCCCTGTCAGAGATCCACGAGTACGCACGAGAGATTGGCATTGATCCCAATCAGGAGTCAGAGCTCCTATGGCTGGCCAGGGAGGGCATTGTTGCCCCACTGCCTGCCGAATGGAAACCCTGGTAAGCAGGCAGGCATCTGCCACTATAACAGAAATGGAGTCTGAACATGGTGGCGTCGGTCGGTAACATTCACTCAAGTGAATTTGAAACCGAACACAAATATTCTCACCTGTGTGGTGAATTTGTGTGTGTCAACACATTTGTAGAGGGGGGATGCTTTTTGTGCTACTCCAATTAATTGCAGTAAAACAGTACTTTGTGTTTTATTTTTAACAGTACTTTTTCGATAGTGATTCATTAACCACAAATAACACAGATTTGGTCATACTGACTCATCACAATGTCACCCTTGTCTTGCATGGATCAGTTGTGTCTTGGTCGTGGTCTCGATTCACAGTCTTTTTTACTATGATCTGAGTTTGAAGACACCTGACATTGACTCCATCTCTGGCCCCTAGTAGTGTGTCAACAGTGGTAGACTGCCCAGGATTCCCAGACACCATATACACCTACAATCAACCTGTCAAAGGAAAACCACTTTCTCCACATCTTTCCTACTCTAGAGATCCTTCCTAGCTGGCCTAGTTCAGTGAATGGTTTCTCAAATCCCACTGTTAGTGCCACTGTTATTTTAACGTTCACTGGTCTCTTCTCCCTTCTCTGGGCTCTGAGGTGCTGAAGTGACCCCCTCCTCTCCCTCCTCTCGCAGTCAGGACGTGACGGGGGACGTGTACTACTTCAACTTCTCCTCGGGCCAGTCCACCTGGGACCACCCGTGTGACGAACAATACCGCAGCCTGGTAAAACAGGAGCGCGAACGAGCCGGCACCCAGCCCCACGGGCCCCCCACCACCGCCGCTAAAAAGGAGAAGAAGAAGAAAAAAGATAAGAAGGAGAAAAAGAAGAAGGAGAAAGACCAAGAGCTCCTGAAACCTCCAGGAGTGAGTGGGCGTTGTTATGTTCTGAAATACACCAAGCGCATGAAGTGACTCACAACACTGCAGTGCTGTTGTGTGTAGATGTATTAGTCTTGAAATAACTTGAATTCTAAATCATGTCAAAGAAGCACGGCTATTCCACTTTGTCACTGAGGCGTAGCAGAAAATGCTGTAAATAGTAGAAAGGAAACAAAGTACAAAGAGTGGCTTGGCTGGACCAATACATTATTATATTATATTGTCTTGGTCATCAACACAACAGTCACATACTTCTGCTTGGTTGCTTCATGCCCCTGAGTTGCTAGGTGATACAGATATACCGATATAGTGATTATCGTAGTGGTAATAGAGTAATAAACAAGTCATTGTCCTAAGTCGTTCTCCATTTCCTATGTGTATCCTTTCTTAACAGTCTGTATTCAAAGGGGAAAGTCCTGCATTGAAGGAGAGCCAGACAGAAACAGGGAAGGCCACTCTTGGATTACAGGGACCCTCTGCACCCACCCAGCCCCCTCTCTCCCCCCTGAACGTCAGCTATGCTGCCCTCTCTAATACAGCACCCCCCAGCTTAGCTCCACTATCCCACCTGTCCACCCTCTCTCCTCTCACCTGGGCTGTATCTCCTCTCTCCCCCCTGGGTGGGTCTGTCTGCTGCAGTAAGGCCCTAGCGGACGCCCAAGAGATCCTGGGCCTTTCCCCTGGCTTCTCCAGAGCTTTCTCTGACCCAGTCCCAGAGACTCAGCCTCCACCTGTCTCCTCACACCCTCCCAACACCCCTGGGAGGGGGTTCAAACTGACATGGGGGCTAGCGCTATACGATGAGGAATGGGACAGGGCAGTGGGGTTTGGCCCAGGGCCCACTGATGTCACACAGAGCCAAGCTGATGCAGTTAGTCATGGTAGTCTCGAGGGGGGAGCAGAGGGCTTTGTCACTGAGGAGGTGGTGGAATGGAGGGGGGCAGCAGAAGACGGTAGGGAGAGCAGTAGTGATTTCAGCGACAAGGTGGTCTGTTTAGAAGTGGAGGTAGAGGAAGGAAAGGCTATTGAACCCCAATTGCCTTCATATGGTCATTCTACACCTGGGGCAGTGATGATGGAAACATATGAGGGAAGAGAAAGCCAAGCCAAGCAGGAGGGAAAGTTCATCCCAGGAGTTCACTTACTTGATGCCAGGGACAGTGAGCAGGACCTCGTGCCCTACATGGCCCCCCTCTGTCTCTCCCCTGGCCCCATGTCCCCCTACCTCTCAGCCGAGAGACAGGGGATGGGAGAGAGCATGGCTGATCCTGTAGGGCAGGGCAGTGCAGGGAGTCGGCAGGTAGGACCACAGATTACAGACAGGCAATAGTAAGACATAGGCTCAGAGCGTAAAGGAATTGTTGGAGTCACAGGAGAAGGATTGGTAGAAGCAGATGAATGATGCCAAATTTGACTCTGTTTCGATAAGATCCTTGAATATCATGATGATTACTATTAACCTGACCCCTCTCTACACAACATATTTGTTCACGTGTTTCTCTCTCTCTCAGCCATTGAGCTTGGCCCTTGGGCCCCTGCAGGCCCCGTTGGGGAGCCTGGGGAGCCTTGCTCCTCTACGGGATCTTGATGGCCTGGCCTTGAGGGGGTCCCTGGGCAGCTCTGGAGGGCTGGAGCCCCTGAAGAGTCCCCTTGGGGTAAGAGCTTTCACCTTGATGAAAAATAATGATTGTTAATTACCTTATGTACTGTATTACCCTTATGCTTATAGTGTGCTGTAGAGAGTCCTTAACCTTTTACCTCACTATTTCTCTCCCTCCCTCTCTCTCTCTCTCTCTCTCTCTCTCTCTCTCTCTCTCTCTCTCTCTCTCTCTCTCTCTCTCTCTCTCTCTCGTCATTCACTTCCTCCCTCCCTTCCTTCATCCCTCCCTCCCTCCCCCAAGGGTCCTCTCTCAAGCTTGGGGTCCAGTCTACTGGGAGGGCGACAGGAGGAGCGTGTGGCTTTCTCTCTGCCTGGGTTCGATGATGAGGATATCATCTCAGAGGATGAGCAGCTGGTACGTCTTTCAACTGGCAACGTGCATACCAGAACAGGGCACTGTGAAACAGAATTTTTGGAGAACAAAAGTGTTTAATTAGTGGAGTGTAAGTTAGATGTATGACTGTCATGCTGTTTGCAGAGTCCTTGTGGCTCGGCCAGACTGTTACAGAACCTGCACCTGGACTTGGATGCGTTGGGAGGAGGGCTGCAGTATGAGGTACATCACCTTCTTCATCATGCACAATAACACAGCACAAGAACATCAAATAGGGGTCATTCCATACTCCTAACAGAACACATACCATGCTCATAACATTACATAACACACCTACCACTCAACTTGAACTGTGAAGCATTTCACAGAACATTTCTATTTTATGGCATAGCCCCCTTGGGACTTTTCACCTACTTTCAACTCCATCAGTATATGATACCAGTGCAGATAAGCACAGTCCCATGTCATTATTACATTAGAAAACCTCTTTGTACAATGGATTTAGGCTCAACCATGTGTGTGTCACCCTGTGTGTTGTGTGGCTAACAGGACAGTGAGGCCAGTGGAGTGGCCCCACTAGAGGAGAGGACAGAACCAGAGCTACAGGACCTGGCCCTGTCTGGAGAGCACATCCCTGACCCCCCCTCTCAACAGGTAACACACACACTACTGATGTGGCTCAATCTAGTACTTCTCTCACTGTCTCTTTCTCTCTTTTCATCCCACTGTCAATCAGGTGGTGTATGTCAGTTTTAGGACTTTCTAGTAGTTTAAACTACATACTTAGATATATTGAACAGTCTCAAACCCATGACTATGTTATCTGATCTATCTGAAGAGAGATCACGAGATGCAGACCTAGATAGAACTGCTCTTGTGTACTAGATTGCCTTTAACCAAAACCAACACTTGAGGGATTGTAAGTGTAAGCTATCATTGGGAAACTGTGTATGCCTATTCATTAATTGAGACATAACATCTTTGTCATTTATCAACTCTCATAAGTGTGTGTGTGTGTGACTCTAAACATGTGTTTTGGTTCTTGTGTCTGTATCTCTTCCTGGTTGTGTAGATGTTGTGTCAATGGGAGCTGTGCTATGGTCACGGCTGCCACTGTTTCTTTCTGTTTGTCACTGTTTGTTTGTTTTCTGTCTGAGTCTTTCATTTGATCACCCCTCACGTTGGTCTTAGAGGTCTGTCTGGGTGGGTGTGTGTATTTAACTGTGTACTTCCTCTGATTTTGACACACTTCTCTGTGTTGTTTGTTGTTGTTGACATGACTGTTCTCTTTCGATGAGCTCTACCTACGGAATGTGTGAGTGGTTTGCATGCCGGTCAGGTCCCTGTGTCTTCTCCTTGTCACAATATTTTGTCCTCCCCAACCCCCTTTCTCTCCGGGTGCCACCATCCTCCCCTTCCAACCAAGGACTCCCTTCGTGGACGCCACCTCCTCTCCTCCCCACCACGCGGAGGCAGCAGGGACTGCAGTAGTGCTGGGGTCTGCCCCTCTACCCCAGACCCCCAGCCTGCTAAAACTAGAGACAGTGGTGAGCCAGATTATGAGGAGGGGTGGGGAGAGGACGGAGAGAGTGTGGCTGAGGAGGAAGGAGGTGAAGAGGAGGACCAGGGAGAAGAGGGACAAGCGAGTGAGAGGAAGAAAGGAGAGGAAGAGGAGGAGGAGGGAGAGGAGGGCAAGGACGTTGAGACTGAGGTCAGTGAGGAGGTAGAGTGTGAAGAAAAGTTGGAGGAGGGAGAGGAGGAAAGTGATGAGGTCATAAAGAGTGAGGAAAAGGGGGAAGGGGAGGAAGAGGGGACTGGTGATGTTGTTGAGAATGTCAATAAAAAGGAGGAAGAAGAAGGAAGTGATGAAATGAGAGAGAGATATCTTGGAGAGCAAGAAGAGAGTGATGCGGTAGTAGAGCGACGTGTTAACAATGAAGAGCTAGAAGTAGAGCATGACAAACAGGTGGAGGAAAGCAATGAGCTAGTTGAGAGCAGTGTAAAAAGTGAGGAAGAACAAAAAGCAGAAGAGAGTGGTGAGGGAGTTGACAGATGCAATAAAAGTGAGGAAGAAGGAGAGGAAAAAGAGGGGGAACAGGAGGAAGAGAGTGATGAGGTAGTAGAGAGATATATTAAAGAGGCGGAGGAGATGGAGGGAGGAGATGAAGAGGAAAGTGAGGTAGTGGTGGAGAGATATTTCAAAAGCAAACATGTGGAAAGGAAGGAAGAGACTGTCAGAGACAGTATAGAGGAGGAAGATGAGGCAAAGGGAGATGAGGATAGTGATGAAGTGGTTGAGAGGTGGTTGAAAGAGGAGGAGGTGGAAGAGGAGGAAGGCAAAGTTGAGGCTGAGGAGGGAGAGAGTGAGGTGGTGGAGAGGTGTGAGGAAGAGAAGGAGGAGGGGTGTAAAGGAGAGGCTGAAGAGAGAGAGAGTGAGGTGGTGGAGAGGTGTGTGAAAAGTGAGGAAGAGGAGGCTGAGGAGGGCGAGAGTGAGGTGGTGGAGAGGTGTGTGAAAAGTGAGGAAGAGGAGGCTGAGGAGGGGGAGAGTGAGGTGGTGGAGAGGTGTGTGAAAAGTGAGGAAGAGGAGGCTGAGGAGGGCGAGAGTGAGGTGGTGGAGAGGTGTGTGAAAAGTGAGGAAGGGGAGGAAAGTGACAAAGTCTTAGAGAGATGCTTGCTGAGTGAAAAATGGGCTAGTGAAGGAGAGGAGAGCAGTGAGGATGAGGTGGAGAGGTGCGTCAAAAGCGAAGGAAAAGAAAAGGAAGGAGACAAACTTGAAGAAGACAGCGATGAGGTGGTGGAAAACTGCATTCAGACCATGCAAGCCTCACTGAAACCAAAAACATCCACAAGCTCAGAGGAAGTAATCGAGAGATTCAAACCACAAACGGTCCAAGCTAGGTCACTGGGGCAGAAGAAGAAGTTAGCGAACCTTAAACAAAGTGACAAAATGGAGGTGTATGTGGGGAAGAAGAAGAATGTGCCCAAACACAGCCCTCTACCAGCAGAGGTAGGGGTTTGGTGTGCTTTGACCATGTCGTGGCCCCTGCCCTGTGTGCTCCCACTCTGCATGCACCTCTGCCCCTCTCTCAGCCAAAGGAGACACCAATCCACTCCCTGAGGGGCTGTGTGTGTCCCAAGTCCCAACCCTGGTGAATCCAGCACCCCAGTCTCCCTCTCACATCACATTGGTGTCTTTGGTCTTTACACATGTTTTTGCCAGTCCACCAAACCTCCAGCCATTGGGCTTCTAACACTTGAGCCCCTGAGGACTGGATTGGAATATTCTGGTCCCCTTGCCAGTTTTGCATTCATCCCTCTTCCTCCAGAGCTGAGAACTGCAGCCCTATCCTCTCAGCCAGCCCCCCAGGCAGCCCCATCCTCTCAGCCAGCCCCCCAAGGCAGCCCCATCCTCTCAGCCAGCCCCCAAGGCAGCCCCATCCTCTCAGCCAGCCCCCCAAGGCAGCCCCATCCTCTCAGCCAGCCCCAAAGGCAGCCCCATCCTCTCAGCCAGCCCCCTAGCTGCCCACCATCTCAGACAGCCCCAAAGGTAGCCCCGTCCTCTGTCCAAACTGCAGTGCTGTAGCCATTGTTTCTTTGTCTCTACTGCCTGCTTGACCAGCCCTGTGTCTGAGTGGTAGGGGCATTTTGTCTGACTCTTTTCCTCTTGTCTGCCCAAGCTTTGCTGATCAAGCCATGGGATGGCTGCTCTGTGCTGTTGACTAGTGTATTGTCCCTTTGCTGCTGTACTTGCTTTGCCCTACTACGGTAGCCTTCATAGTTGCTGTGTGTGTCCTCCTGTTTGACTGGGTGTGTGTCGCTGAGAATGGCAGCATGCATCCATGTTTTCTATCTGTCTGTGTGTGAGTGCATGCGTCTGTGTGTGTCTGTCTGTGTGTGTGTGTGTGTGTGTACACGGTGTTGAGGTGATACGGTGGCACTATGCTTCATGTCAGTGACTGAGTGTGTGTTTACATCAACAGTCCGAGGCCAGCGAGCACATCGAGGTGGCATCCTCCTCCACTGAGGACCTCAAGGTACTTTTTTATGGATTGAGAACATGTCCCTATAGATAGGCCTATAGAATAGATACTTTATAATGTACAATTTTAACAGATATTATCAAAGGGAATGTTTAGTAAAGACTAACAGTGTTGTGTTCCATTTTCCCTTTAGTCTGGTTTTGGCTCCAAGTTGTCAGAGAAAGTCCTGGAGCTGAAGGATCTTTTCCCTGCTGTTAGTCCACGCCTGCAGGTACCACACTTTCTCCTCCTCTCCTTCTCTTCCTCTCCTTTCTTTTTCTCACTCGCTCACCCCTCTTCACCCTGGTTCTCCTCTTCACCTCCTTCCTCACTTGGGTGTTCTCAGTCACAGTGGTTGTCTGGCTGTCGAGTTTGTAGGCACAGTTTGTACCGTTCTTTTATTTTGAGAGTAACACTCACATCATGCCATGTAGAGTTAGATGTTAGCGTTTGCTATTCATCTAAAAAAAAGTATATTTTCTCCAGGAAGACGAGGGGAAAGTGAAAGTCAGTGCGGAGGAGGAGAAGGAACGGAGGAAGAGGGCAGAAGCTGCAGAGAGGTTGGCAGACAAGCCTTTCTGATTCTGATAAATGCCCATATTTCCGGATTTGAAATTTGGAACACACATTGTGATACAAGCATAATGTCATTGTCATTGGTGCAGTAGTCTGCCTCTGGCACAGATCAGCAAGTCTAGAGCTGAGACAAGTAATTTATCTGACTTCCCTCCCCTTTCTCTCTTTCTCTCTCTCTCTCTCTCTCCCCGCCCCCACTCTGCAGGCGTCTCCATGCTGCAGGCAGGGAGGATCCAGCAATGGAGGACAGGCCCCCCAGCCAGCCCAGTGAAGCCCATCAGGACACAGGGTCCTCCCATTCTGAGCCGGAGCCCCGGCCGCGGGCCGAGGGGGTCAGCACCAGCGCCAGCCTAGGGGTGCCGGGGGTCCAGGGGATCCAGCGTCCTGACACCTCCAGAGGCTGCCTGGTTAGGAGCCCCCACGCCCACAACCAGGAGGAAGCCCCCAGACAGGGGGAGGACAGCAGAAGGGCCCAGGAGGAGGAGGAGAGGGAGAAGGAGAGGAGGAAGACTGAGAGGGAGATAAAGGAAGAGAAGGAGCGTGCGCTGCGCGAGAGGCAGGAGAAGGTGCGCTTCCTTCAGGAGGAGCTGAGGCGGGAGGAGGAAGAGGAGGAACGGAGGCTGAAGGAGGAGAGCGAGGAGAGGGTCAGGTAGGCCTTCAGGCAGCAGGCCACAGAGTAGTCAACCTCCCTCACTCTCCACTGTTATAGTAGTATTTGTGAGCTGTGATGCTTCCTGCCCTCTAATGCCCTGTGATGGGTGAGTGATTGTGTGAGGATGTGACTCAATGTTGATGCTTAGGCCTGTGTGACAGTGCTGGTTATCTCACCCGCTGCTGTGTGTGTGTGTCCTTGTCCTGACCGGTCTTCCAGGAGCCTGAGGCAGAGACTCCAGAGTAAGGGGAGGGAAGAGGAGAGCAGGCTGAGTGTGGAGTCTGAAAGCAGGCTACTGGAGCTGAGGGAGACGGCCCGGAGGGAGAGAGAGAACCAGCAACGCACTGTCAGGTGACTCATCTCATCTCTCTCTACTATTCATCCATTTGCTTAAGCACACACACACATTCATTGGCATGACAGCCATCTCCCTGGAGTGCTGCACTGACCCTTAGATCACATGCCCAGCGACCATAGCCGTATTAATATGACACTACGTCACATAACTATTCTGTGCCTAGGCTATACTATTCTTACTACACATACAGTAGGTATAGCAATACTGCTTGGTCACTGTAAAAAACAAGACAAAAAAATATTTGAGCTAGAAATGATTGTGTGTGTGTGCGTGCTTGCTACGTTTGTTTGTGTGTGTGTTGTTTTTATCAGGGAGGAGGGCGAGGCGATGCTGAGGGAGCTGCGTGCCACCCTGGAGGCGGAGAGAGAGGCGGAGCGAGAGAGGATAGCGGCCCAGAGGAGGCGGGACCTGGAGCGACTGAGGGAGGAGTCAGAGGAGGAGCTACATGCAGAGAAGCGGAGACTGCTTGGGGAGCGGGAGGAGCAACTCAGCTCCCTCAAACAGGAGGTGAGAGAGGGGGAGGGGAGAGTGGCGATGGGGGTGGGAGAAGGGAGAGGTGGAGGTATAGGAGAGGGGCCTTCCAATACACACCTGTACTCGAAACAACTGAATGTGAACTGTCTGGACTCATGTATTTGAGTTTTTGTGTGGGAAATACATGGAGTGAGTCTAGGATAGTGTGTGTGTGTGTGTGTGTGTGTGTGTGTGTGTGTCACACAGTGTGTTGTTGTGTTCCTTAGGGGAGAAGCAGTGCCAGTGAGAGGCGGAGGGAGTTGAAGAGCCCTCGTAGCCCAGAGCAGCATCTAGCAGAGTACCAAAGAGAGGTGAGAGAGCACACACACACACACACACACACACACACACACACACACACACACACACACACATTACTTCCCACACAAAACCTTAGCCCCTCATCTCACTCACTGCATATACACATATTACAGTATTATAACAGTATGTCAGTCTAAACCCTATGTAGAGTGTTGTGACATTATGTATCCCTCCCACTCACTGTGTCTTGGTCCAGTTGGCAGACGTGCTCCAGGAAGTGAGGGAGGAAGTGCAGCGTGACCACGCCAGGAAGCTGGAGCAGCTCAAAGACGACCACCGCAGAGAACTCAACTCTATCAGAGAGAATCATGTGGACCAGGTGAGACACAGTTCAAAGGTCACAGCTTCTTGTAACTGCCAGCTCCTACTGTCATTGTTGCTTTGGCTGTTGCCTCTGCACTGTCCTTACATGTAATGCTGCAGTTAAATATTGTGGAAAGTAACTCATGATCTATTTGTGTGTGTGTGTGCGTGCGTGCGTGTGTGTGTGCGCATGTCTGCATGTGTGTGTGTTTGTCCTCCAGGAGGCTGTCCAAAGGGAGCAGTTGCTGTGTGCCCTGCAGGAGGAGAGAGATCGCCTGCTGGCCGTCCACAGCACCCAGCTGGAGAGACTCCGTACACAGCTAGACACCCAGCTCTCCAAGACCCGCCAGACACACACACGCAAGGTGAGGACAGAGAGACACACACACACACACACACACACACTCCCATGTATCATCTCTAAACACCTAAAGTATGTCATCCCTCAGGAGGCAGAGATTCAGGAGCTGGGGGACAAGCTGGAGCTGAGGGCCAGAGAACTGAAGAGCCAGGAGGCAATACTGAAGACCCAGGTAATCAATCAATGACTGTTGCATTGATATGTGTATTCGTGACTATCTGAAACGCTTGTCCTAGGCTATGGATTGATTGATTACTGTATGTGGTTGGGCGCTGTTGATTAAAGGACATATACGTTTGGCACTTTTCAGGCAGCGAATTTGAAGAAGAGGAGGCAGCAGCTTGGGGATGAAGAGGATGAGATAGACAGAGGAATAGAGGTGAGGATTCATCATCATCATCACCTCTGTCTTCATCATGCTGTAGATATTAAGCCTGTGATGTTTTCAGGCTCTGCCTCGAGTCATGCAGGAGAGAGATGGACTGAGAGAGGATCTGGAGCGGGTGAAAGAAGAGAGGGATAGGGCGAGGCAGGAGGCGGAGAGAGCGAGGGAGGAGAGGACCAAAGCGAGAGACGAGGCGGAGAGAGCGAGGGAGGAGAGGGACAAAGCGAAGGAGGAGAGCAGGAGGATGAAGGAGGAGCGGGACCGGCTGGAGAGCAAGGTGGAGCTGCTGCAGGAGCGCTGTGAGAGTCTGAGCCGCAGAGTCAGGTACACGCACACACACACACACACACACACACACTTGGCCTGTTAGTTGGGGTCAACCTCCGTTCACTCCTGTTTCATTGTCATCTTGCAGCTGGCAGTAGCATGTCTTCCAGAGTTAGTGTGAGACTTCAAGTCTAGCTTGCCAGACTACTGAGCTCTTTGTCAAGCGGTTGATCAAGTCATACTAATGGTTCAATGTTATCCCAATACCAGTACTTTCTCAGTGATGAACATATGATTCTATTGCAGTGATCTGGAGCAGAGTGAGATCAAGAGGCCCTCTAGACTGGACAGAACAGAGGAGGAGGTGGAGAGGGAGAAGGATAGCGAGGCAGCGCCCTCTACTGCTGGACGGGAGAAAGTGCTGCATGTGGAAGACCTGAAAGAACCGCCTCTCTCCCCCATCTCCAGAGACAGCGAGAGCAGCTTGGACGAGTATGTGTGTGCGTGTGTGTGTGAGTCAGAGCATGCATGTTGCACCCTTCTATCCTGACTAACTTCTATGTGTGTGTGTGTGTGTGTGTGTGTGTGTGTGTGTGTGTGTGTGTGTGTGTGTGTGTGTGTGCCTGTGTGTGTCTCCCTCTTCCTGTCCCTCTCCCAGCTTGCGTCAGTATATCTCCTCTGAGGGGCTGTCCCTGCAGAAGGCCCGGCGCTTCCTGGAGAGGGAGAGTGGTCGTCTGAGGGAAAGACAGACAGCGCTGCAGCTAGCCCAGGCCCGGTCCAGCTCCTCTCAGTACCCCAGCACCACCACCCAAACCCAGGCCACACAGGAGATGTACAGGAACCTGCAGCAGGTACGTGTAAGTGTGACTCCCTTATCCCTTATAGACTCCTACACTCTGCCCCAGTGCCCTTGTGTTGAACATTCATGAAGTGAGAGAGTATGCATGACTACCGTGTGTAACTGTCCCTGAATCTCTCTCTCTTTCTCTCCCTCTCTGTCTCTCCCTCTCTGTCTCTCCCTCTCTGTCTCTCCTTCGTTTCCTCTTCTGTTCCTCAGGAGGCCAGTGACGTGGAGGAGTTGCGGGTGACTGTACAGAGGGGGAACTCGTTGTTACGCAGGAAGGAGGAGAGACTGCAACAGCTAGAGAGCTCTGTAGCTGAAGAGGTGCCTTATTACGACACCAGAAAACCTTTATATACCACATATCCTGTCCCCTGTACACCACCTATACTACATACCATGCACATAACCTTATACATACTGGAATAGATTGCTAATAAACAACACACTATACACTGAGTGGACAAAACATTAAGAACACCTGCTCTTTCCATGACAGACTGGACCAAGTGAATCCAGGTGAAAGCTATGATCCCTTATTGATGTCACTTGTTAAATCCACGTCAATCAGTGTAGATGAAGGGCAGGAGACAGGTTAAAGAAGGATTTTTAAGCCTTAAGACAATTGAGACATGGATTGTGTATCTGTGCCATTCAGAGGGTGAATGGGCAAGACAAAATATTGAAGTGCCTTTGAACGGGGTGTGGTAGTAGGGGCCAGGTGTACCGGTTTGTGTCAAGAACTGCAACGCTGCTGGGTTTTTCACACTCAACAATTTCCAGTGTGTATCAAGAATGGTCCATCACCCAAAGGACATTCAGTTAACTTGACACAACTGTGGGAAGCATTGGAGTCAACATGGGCCAGCATCCCTGTGGAACGCTTTCAACACCTTGTAGAGTCCATGCCCTGATGAATTGAGGCTGTTCTGAGGGCAAATGGGGGTGCACCTCAATATTAGGTTCCTAATGTTCCTAATGTGTTGTACACATACATATTGTGTATGCGTTTTTACATTACATTTTTGTCATTTAGCAGACACTCCTATCCAGAGCGACTTACAGTCAGTGCATTTAACTTAAGGTAGCTAGGTAAGACAATCGCATATCACAATCATTGTAAGTAAAACTTTCCTCAATAAAGCAGTTATCAGCAAAATCAGTGATGGTAAGAGAAGACAAGTGTTAGTGTTAGAAAGGCAAGTACAAAAGTATGGAGTTTGTTTTTTCTCTTGCTTTCCCTTGCCCAGGTCTCCCATCATCACTACTATGATGACCAGGACAGACTAGCGGCTGATAGGAAGGTGACCTTTGATGTGACTGAATCAGATATGAGCAGCGTCAGCAACGGCCATGATGGCCTAGGTGAGAGAGACAGACATACGGGAATATTCATTCCTTACACACTCACAACAGGAAGGCCTGTACTCCTCCTCTGCCATATTCTTATCATACTCTCTCTCTCTCCCCCTTCATTGTTCCTCCTTTTTTCCCCTTTCGCCCACTCCTTCCTTCCTTTCTTTCACACCTCGTCCCTTGCTTTTCTCCCTCTTTCTTCTCGTTTTCTGACATTCGCTCCCTTTCACTCAAGCACTCTCTCTCCCTCTCTTTTTCCCTCTCTATCTCTCCACTCTAGGTGGAGAGCCCACAGTGCCAGCTAAGGTGCAGCACTTAACCGAGTCGCTCCAGCACATCTCTGGCCAGCTCAACACAGTCCTGGGTGCCCTGGGCTCCCTGACCCAACGCCAGACCCCTTACCAGCCTCTCCCCCTACCCCTGCCCCTCTCCCAGCCCCGCACCCCCACCTCAATGCCTCTTTCACAGCTCTCCATGCCTTTGTCTGGGCCCTCCTGGGCGTGGGCCCCCCACAGCACCTCCACCCAGCCACGGGGTTCTGAGGACCTGCTCAACAGCCGCTGGGCCAAGCTCTTCCCTGGTACACCTGAACCAAAGAGCTACAATATCATATATGTTATATTAAATATGCGTTCTATTTAATTATGTCGTCTGAAGAACTCTCTGTTCAGTGTTTGTGTAGTTTCAGGTAGGGTGAGTTGTTGGTTTATTGGTTTAAGACTACACTTATCTTTGTCCCTTCTTCCATAGGGGCTCCTATTGAGCCCATAGCCACCAGTTCATTGAGGACCAATGCACTTTATTCAGGGTACAGTCCTGCAAGGTAAATATGATTTTTTTTACTCAACTGTCACTCATCCCTTTCACAGTAGTCTATCTTGTTGAATGAAGGTACTAAAGAAATGTGTGTTTGTGTGTGTTAGTGAGCAGGCTCGTAGTCTGTCCTCAATGCAGCCTAAATCAGTGGAGATGGATGGCCAGAGGCTACAGGGTATGATCGATGGCAACAAGAGATGGCTGGAGACGCGCAGGAAAGACCCCAGTGTGTATCCTTCTGTAAACATACTTACACACACAACATTGAACAACTTATAATGGAGCTTGGTTCAGTCTTGTAAATTTCCTTAACAGGTTTTCATCAGACCTCTGTTCACGCGTTATCGGACCCCCCCAACTATGAGTGGACTGGTCCAGCTGAGCCTGGATGACAACAACCAGATTAAAGTGTACCATTACTAAAGGGGGGGGGGGGAAGCTACAGACGGAGCAAGGATCAACACAAGCAGATAAAGATGTACTGTTACTAAAAAAGGGCTAAGGACGGGTGGGTTTTTAAAATTAACTTTGAGTAATGCAGGGATCCCTCTAGCTCTGGTCCAGGGCATTACTAGAGGAACCCCCTCAACTATGTGTGGACCAAAGGAACGCACTAACACCCTGGACCAGAGCTAGGATTCCTCTACAACCAGATTTACACATCAGATTACTGTAAGAAACATTTTTAAGACCTCTGACCTCTGGTGAACTCCTCACCCTCAGTTTAGCAGTGATTGTGTGACAGAAGAGTGAGAGGACACTAGGGCTGTTTCAGTGGTCTCTGTAATTTCATTCCATTGGCGTGCAAGGGTGAATAGCTTAGGAGGATGGTGAATAGGCCCGTAGTCAACAAATCCGTTTATTTCCCTTTTTTTTTGCCTCTAGCTATTTAAATGTTTCAAAGCAGAATGCGTAGTTGTTACATATACAGTAGGTGCTTCACTTTATTAGGAGAGACATCAAGGTTTATGAGCGAGATATTGCTGAGCCTCATAACTGATGTGAGGTGATAAGTGACTAAAGATCATTGTCATGGTATCAGGTTGTATAAGATATGTTGTATCACTAATTCCACACCATAATAACCACTACAAGGGCAAGACAATGACTTGTGAAGCATTCACAGTCTGTATGAAATTCTGGTAAGAGAGACCCTCTTTCAGTGTGTTTACTGTGCAGATAGTGTGTGACATTTTTTTGTTACATACAGTATTTTTATAAGAAATATTTTAATAAATGTAAAGTGGTGTATATTCATAATGCTCATGTCAAGCTTTCATTGTTTTTCATGCAACAGCTTTTCAGTATTTCATTTGTCTGCATTACATAGTAATCACCAGGGTTGTATTCATTGGGACACCCAACGGAAAGTGTTGTAACTTTTTGCAACAAAAATTCAGGTAGTCCCTCCCTGATTGTCAGTTATCTTCCGTTTGGTGTCTAATGAACACAACCCAGGTCCTTACAAGTCTGGATTTCCTGTTCATCCTGCTTATCAGTTACTTAAAATGCAAAACCTAGAGACAGATTGTACTAATGCTAAGACTACACCTTTATCATTGTGGACACAAACTTTATTCAGTAACTGTTGCATCACACAGTGCCAAGTTATTATCCTACAGTGCAAAATATATTTTCCTCACCAGCTAAGGACGTAGTTAGTAATTAAAATACAATCATTGATATCTCTCAGGGACAGATCAATTCCCATCCGGCATACAGTATCAGACAGCCATAGAAACACATACAGACCACGCACATGATTAGAACATTAAAGGCCACCGACAGACTGGACATGGAGTGTGTTCCCACACACACACTTATGCTCAATCATATATACACAGACTATACAAGTTTAAATGCATTGATGGAGTTGCAGGTCAATAATGATGCAATATAAAATAAATTAAATTCAAAAAGGTTAACATGATTTTTATCAGCAATATGAAAACACAACGACCACAGTAATATTGGATGGCAGTAAGGAGAAATGTCAGCATGTCCTGGTGAACCAGACTCATTGATTGGCACGCCAAGTGTCCATACATATTCCAACTCGGGGGAGGGCGCACCGTCCTTCCCCAGCTCTTTGATTGGCTGAGATGCCCAGCTCGCCTGCAGTCAGGGAGACAGGCCATTGGGTGTCTCAGTTGCCACTGTGTTACTATTGGCCAGCGAGAGACGTTAAGGCAGAGCCAGAGAGTTGCTTTCTCAGAAGACAAAGATCTTGTCTCTTTGGACGTCGTCCAAGTCATCATCCATGGTGAGGAGAACCTGGCAGAGAAAGCAGAGGAGTCAGTCACTATCTAATATGTTACAATCTGGGTATGTATGGGTCAGAAATGGGAGGTCTTCATCAAAGCTCAGCCACTCATGATTTTCTATTGCTGAATGACGTGTGCAAGAACCATGTCCATGGTGTGAAATCTGTGTATTCCCCTCCAATTTATAATACTATGAAATTAGTGTCACATGGCCCTCCCCAGAGGCACACACACACACACACACTCACTAGGAAGGAACCAAACATGGCGATGGAGGACAGGAAGTGCCAGATGTCGTGGTCGTCGAAGAAGGAGAGCACGATGCAATCACGGTTGTGTTCCCGGGACTCGGCAGGGGTTTTCTACGGCGGGGGAGAGGGGACAAAGCAGTAAATTGGGATTATGTGACCATGACGTGATGTGTAAACATGTAGTGTGTGATGTTTGTTTTCAAGTGTGGTACTACAGATACCATGAGTCCCATGGGGCAGGGGTTCCCAAACCTCTCCTCGGGGACCCCCAGACCTTTCACCATTTTGTTGTAGACCTGAACTAGCATACCTGATTCAACTTACCTACACAGACAAGTGCTTGATTATAAGTTGACGAGTTGAATCAGGTGTGCTGGCTCTGGAACAGTATGAATACATGGAATGGCTGGGGGTCCCCGAGGAGAGGTTTGAAAACCACTGCCATGGGGTGTGTAAGGCTGACTTGTGGTAGAAGCCAGTGATCTGTAAGGTCTGTGTGTTTGTGTGTTTGTGTAGTAGGTGTGTGCGGTGCTGACCTGCCAGGTGCTGAGGCCCTGGAAGAAGAAGAAGAGAGCGAAGCCCCACACTACGGCCGTGAAGAGGATACACACAATGGCCATGCACTGGATCCTCTCACCACTGCGGAGCTACACACACATTCACAGAAACACAACATCATCTGTTATTGTACACCCAGAACATGTTCTATGTTGTTTCATGTGTCAGATGTGCACTTTCTACATACAATACTGTTAGAATACGTCAACAATCAAACAAAGCACATTTAGTAGAATGTTTGAATTAGCTAGAGATATATTTTATTTGTTGCATGGGTGATATCGCCCTTCCGCATCTGCAGTGAAAGGTGGCAGAGCTAGAGCGGTGTTAGTCAGACCATTACGACATCCCGAAAATCGGTCTTCTTACAAAAACGTCTGTAGCGTCCAAACATATTATGACCACTCTATTGAAAGATGAGACTCTCACGATGGCGTTCCCCATTTTGCTCCCGGTTTTGCCCCCGGTACCAGTGAAAAATGTTTTATGGAAGTATATACAGTATGGGGATAGTTTATTGCCTAAGATATGGGGATAAATATTTATGTTATTTTTTTATATAGTTCAGAACAAACTTCTTTTAGATTTTTTGGGGGACTATCTGTTGTTCCATGTAGTGAATCTGTTATTCAATGCATTTCTATTGGCTAATAGCAGTAAGGCCAAATTCAACGTTTCATCCCCCAAAAAAAATAATATATATTTTTTTGTTACCTTAAGGGGTCTTAAAATTCAAAATCAAATAGCTAAATGATTCTTGGTATGACAATCTTAAAACAATTCCATATGTTAGCTTAGACCCCCTCCCACAGCTTAGACAGGGCTTAGACTCTACAGGGTTAATGAATTAATAAATATATTGTGGCATGTCTTTTTTGAGTGAGATTGGTCCATAGAAAATGAATAAACAAGCACACACACACACACACACACACACCTTCATGATGATATAGAAGGCAAAGTAGAGTAGCAGGTTGCAGATGGCGATGGCCAGCAGGTAAGAGGCAAAGTCATTGGGTGTCTTTAGAAGCCCATAGGCAGCTCTGGACAGACAGAACACAACAATACAATGTATGTCAGTGATGAGTTGTCTACTCTACTCTCCACCCATGGTTGTGGGTGAGTAATGACTATTATACAGAGTAAATGGATACCTTGTCTCATCAAGCTGAGTGAGTCACAATAAAACACATTGACAGAAAGGGACTTAAATTAATCACTTAAAAAGTAGGTGTGAAAGACCTTTGATTAAAAAAAAAAACACTGCATGATGATGTCAAACAATGTACAGATCTGCCATCTTAATTTGACCCCGTTTCTCACAGCAGGAAAATTATCCTGCAGCAACAGGAAATGTGAATTATTACGTGGATTATATTAATGGACATTTTTGTATGGGTTGATACATTTTTCGTTAGGGCAAATCAAGTCTGACATTTTAAAGTGGAAATTACAAACTTTAGAAGCCTTTTTACACCCTAATACACTACAATTAGCATTTCATGCTTCGCAGGAAAATTCTCTGCGACAACAGAGTGATCAAATTAAGATATCAGATCTGTAATGTACCCTGCAAACCTGACCGAAAACAAAATAATCAAAAAATGTGTCACATATAAAGAACACTGCAGTAAAGGCATTCCAGTCTGAATAAGATAGTGATTGAATGAAGGAAATACTCACAGAGACCAGTTCACTATGTTTCCCATCACCAGCAGAACCATTCGGTCCTAACACACACACACACACACACAAAGACACACACAGAGACAGAGAGAGAGAGTGGGAGAGAAACGTTTACTTGTGGATTTGTGAATCTTTCGCGACATTCGAGTGAGTCTCCATACAGTATGTGTATGTACAGTATACCAATGACTGTATATATGAATGGACAAAGCCATCGATCACATGACACCATTCATTCCTATGTGAAGACTCAATAGCGTATTGAAGCCAAATGAAGTCTGTTAAGATGGCGTCTCATGGAGACATAACATGCGCAGTTTGATATACTCCAGGAAGTGACGTTGCAGCCTAGCTCAGTGCTGCAGGCAGCCATTAGCAACTAAATTATCCTTATAACTTATTCTGTGTGCGATTTAAAAAAATAATTGGTTCAAGGACATACTGTAATACTGGGTGTATTAGATGCAATTATTAGCACCATGATTGTCTTCCCCCAACATTTTTTTTTTTACACAAAGATTGACCACGAAGATTGCCATTTTTCCATTCACTATAATGGGGGATCCTGTTTATGCAAACAATGCAAACAATGCCTGCAGTGCCGCAGTCAGCCTTGAACCTCCGTAAGTTTCAATGAGAGGGGGCAGTAGTTCTCCACTGATGTATACTCACAATATACATGGGGCCACTGCACTGGCGGATACAGTCGGTGTAGATCACATACACAATCCTGCGCAGGATGCCAGAATCTGAAACACAAACAAATAGAATAGACTGACACCTGTCCATAGCCCCTGTAACGTTACAAGGTAAAAGCTAACCCTGACCCCAGGACTGTTCCTAGCCCTTACTCCTAGGTTTCTTCCTAGGTTCCTGCCTTCTAGGTCGTTTTTCCTAGCCACTGTGCTTCTACTTCTGCATTGCCTTCTCTTGGGGTTTTGGGACTGGGTATCCGTAAAGCACTTTGTGACAACTGCCAATGTAAAAAGGGCTTTTAAAAATAACAAATAAATGTGATTGATTGATTGACTCCTTACCCAGTCTCCAGCGGCCCATGTAGTAGAGCTGGGTGCTGAGCAGCATGGTGGCCAGGATGTGGATGACAGAGAAGACGATCCAGAACACCATGTTGCCCTTCCCAAACACCTGGACACAACACACACACACCGCCATCATCAGGATACATCAGGAATTTGACACTTGCTGAATGATGATTGTATAGGTTGTGTATGTCAGAGTCTACTGTTGGGTGTTTGTTGTGTTTCGGTCTGTCTCGGTGTGTATATGTGCGTGCCCCTAGTCCCTCACCACTCCTAGTACAGAGAAGAAGATGACAGCAGCCAGACAGGCGTAGGCAGTGTAAGCGCTGGCATTGATATCTGGGTGTCTCTTCTGGTATAGCTTTAGCACACAGAGCCCAGCTATCATATACATGAAGGAGGTGTCTGGGAGACAGAGTAGGAAAGGGTGACATTAATGATATTTCTTACAGTACAGTTATTGTGAAGTAGCCAGAGTCCCAGATCTGTTTGTGCCGTCTTGCAGTCACAGCAATTAAGTTGGCAAGACAACATGAACCGATCTGGGACTGATTGGGGGCTGATTGAGAAACCCATCTATTGAGGATCTGTGTTACAGTATCTTCAGGATCTCCCAATTATCCAACCATGACATTAGTCTCTCAGTCTTACCGAACTGGAAGTTGGTGTAGTTGGGGCAGACGTGGTAGCAGGCACTCAGCAGTCCCTCCATCATCAGAGCTGTGCCCATGGCGTAGAACAGCCCAAAGTGCTTAGGGATGCCACACTCCTGGAGACCGGCAGGGAGGGAGAGACAGAGGCTCAAAATTATATAATTGTCACTAGCTAGGTTTACATCCAATTGGCGACAGATTGTCATGCAAATATTCTAAAAATCTAAAAGGCTATGTGATGATGTAGTGAAAAGAGAACAATATGCACATCCAATGTTCATGCCTCTAGAGGTTATTTAAGTAGGTGTGTTTCACAGTGGTGTATGACCTGACAAAGATCCAACTCTGATCGAAACGTTGTCTTTATTGTGCGTCTGATTAACTCACCCTGGGAGCATACCAGATTTGTGGACATGTATTTTTTCTTTGATGATGTAGTACACATAAAAATTACTTTTGCGGTTACATTCCCATGTACAGTGGGGGGAAAAAAGTATTTAGTCAGCCACCAATTGTGCAGGTTCTCCCACTTAAAAAGATGAGAGAGGCCTGTAATTTTCATCATAGGTACACGTCAACTATGACAGACAAATTGAGAATTTTTTTTCTCCAGAAAATCACATTGTAGGATTTTTTAATGAATTTATTTGCAAATTATGGTGGAAAATAAGTATTTGGTCACCTACAAACAAGCAAGATTTCTGGCTCTCACAGACCTGTAAATTCTTCTTTAAGAGGCTCCTCTGTCCTCCACTCGTTACCTGTATTAATGGCACCTGTTTGAACTTGTTATCAGTATAAAAGACACCTGTCCACAACCTCAAACAGTCACACTCCAAACTCCACTATGGCCAAGACCAAAGAGCTGTCAAAGGACACCAGAAACAAAATTGTAGACCTGCACCAGGCTGGGAAGACTGAATCTGCAATAGGTAAGCAGCTTGGTTTGAAGAAATCAACTGTGGGAGCAATTATTAGGAAATGGAAGACATACAAGACCACTGATAATCTCCCTCGATCTGGGGCTCCACGCAAGATCTCACCCTGTGGGGTCAAAATGATCACAAGAACGGTGAGCAAAAATCCCAGAACCACACGGGGGGACCTAGTGAATGACCTGCAGAGAGCTGGGACCAAAGTAACAAAGCCTACCATCAGTAACACACTACGCCGCCAGGGACTCAAATCCTGCAGTGCCAGACGTGTCCCCCTGCTTAAGCCAGTACATGTCCAGGCCCGTCTGAAGTTTGCTAGAGTGCATTTGGATGATCCAGAAGAGGATTGGGAGAATGTCATATGGTCAGATGAAACCAAAATAGAACTTTTTGGTAAAAACTCAACTCGTCGTGTTTGGAGGACAAAGAATGCTGAGTTGCATCCAAAGAACACCATACCTACTGTGAAGCATGGCGGTGGAAACATCATGCTTTGGGGCTGTTTTTCTGCAAAGGGACCAGGACGACTGATCCGTGTAAAGGAAAGAATGAATGGGGCCATGTATCGTGAGATTTTGAGTGAAAACCTCCTTCCATCAGCAAGGGCATTGAAGATGAAACGTGGCTGGGTCTTTCAGCATGACAATGATCCCAAACACACCGCCCGGGCAACGAAGGAGTGGCTTCGTAAGAAGCATTTCAAGGTCCTAGAGTGGCCTAGCCAGTCTCCAGATCTCAACCCCATAGAAAATCTTTGGAGGGAGTTGAAAGTCTGTGTTGCCCAGCAAGATCTGCATGGAGGAATGGGCCAAAATACCAGCAACAGTGTGTGAAAACCTTGTGAAGACTTACAGAAAACGTTTGACCTGTGTCATTGCCAACAAAGGGTATATAACAAAGTATTGATAAACTTTTGTTATTGACCAAATACTTATTTTCCACCATAATTTGCAAATAAATTCATTAAAAATCCTACAATGTGATTTTCTGGAGAAAAAAATTCTCATTTTGTCTGTCATAGTTGACGTGTACCTATGATGAAAATTACAGGCCTCTCTCATCTTTTTAAGTGGGAGAACTTGCACAATTGGTGGCTGACTAAATACTTTTTTTCCCCCACTGTACGGAATAAAGTTAAATGGGTTTCCATTGCATTTAACTCTACTGACGGTTTTGTCACAAAAAATGTTGCGTTATTTGCGAATGTGCCCACTATGGTCTTGGCACAAGCGCTCTAGCCAACAGCTTGCAGATACAGTGCGGGCATAGCCTACATTAGATTTTATGGACAAAGGAGCGATCATTTTTATTTGTCAAACGGCAGCCAAGCATCAATCATCATGTCACCAGAATCAGATATTTATTGGAAAGGAGCCTCAAGCTCATCACCGTGCCCTTTCACCACCCTGTGAAGTTCATAACTTACTTCATCTGTAGCCTACTAAACCGCATGCTTTCCCTAATCATAGTGGGAGGACCACACAACATATCATTGCATGACTCCCAACTTTATTTCAATATGATGGTTATTTTATCAATATTTGCGCATAAAGGAGTTTCCACCACCATTTCTCGCATAATTAATTTTACCTACACAAAACTCACCTTGTCTAGCGTATTTCGTTTTTTCGATATTTGGAAAGTTCACCGACAAATTTGCTGTTTCCATCAGGCATTTCATGAAATGTTTTATACGACATGTACATTACTCGCATAAAAAGTTTGGATGGAAACCTGGTTACTGGTATTGAACGTTCCATAGTGTGTAGGAAATACCAATTGGACAAAACCCTCATGTCAACATCATGAGTGGTGATATGAATTCCATACATGGAAATGCCAATGTGTATGCATTTCATGTTCTATTGTGCATCCCACTGCTATAATACACTATCTGTGCCAGGGGTCAGTTTAGAGGTTGTGCTACCACCCCTGGACCACATATTGCCCCTGGAGGCAGCAGTTCAATCCCCAGTTCCGCCACTCACGCTCTGTACTGTACCCCTGTCATCTTGCTACCTATCACATACTCTAATCTACACCTGTCAATCAAAATAAAAAAACTACAAAATACCCCCCAAAATATCTCTAAACAAAAGCACCATCTCAGTTTGATCTCTCACCAGCGCGTTGAGGTCGTTGCGGTCCAGCGCTCTGCTGTGGATGATGTCTCTCTGCAGCACGATGAGCAGGAAGAGGAGGCCCAGCATCACGTAACCAAGGTTACTCAGTATGTTGTTGAAGGCACTGCACACCAGAGGGTAGAGAATGGATGTCATGAATGATACAAGTCATACATTACATGCACACCCATATGCGTTTTTCCTTATGATACACACACACACCTCAGATTCCCCAGGGGGTGTGCACACAGGAAGTTGTAGTAGCAGATGTCCTGATTTCCTGTCACGTTGACAACCTGGAGGAGAGAGGAACATGTCGTCAACAACAACAATGCACTACCCACCCACCATGTGTGGATTCTACAGTCATATCTACTCACTCGAAGGCAATTCCTTTACACACTACAAATGCACTCGTTATAACTCTGTAATAATGTGGTAAATCTGCAGTTGTGGAGTGTGAGTGAGGGTAGCACACAATACCGTTTGATAAGTGATGACCAGCTGGATGACAGGGAGGGCGTAGAACACACCTATGGTGGCAATATTCCTGAGGAGAGGAACACTGACATTAACTGCCATGACACTGATAGTTGTATAATTACTGTACAATCCGACTGATACAAAACAAACCTACACCCTATCCAAAGAAGCAACTGATGACTAGCTAATTGTTATCATGCATTTGACTAGAGTACTGATAGAGTGGAGGATGCCATAGGGTTATAGCCCCAGCATTGATGTACAGATTTTTAGCTAACTCTCCGTCCCACTCACCAGAAGTAGATTTGGTACTTTTTACTCAGAACCCTCTTGTCCTTGCGAGCGAGGTCCGACACACACAGGTACTTCTGCAAAAGGACAAGCGACCACAAGAGTTTCATTGGGAGGGAAAAACAACAGAAGATGAGTATAATATTGAGTGATGCACAGGGGAGGAGAGGTAGAGGGGGGGTGGAGGAGGGGCGGGTCAGACCTTGGTGCGGACGATGTTCTTGTCCGAGTCGATGTCGGCCAACGTGTCATAGTCATCCTCCTCTATTGAGCTCAGAGACTCCTGACGACTACGACCCGTAACACTCTCCAACGAACGCTCTGAGAGACGGAGAGAGGGGGAGACAGACAGAGACAGAGACGGGGGAGACAGAGAGGGAGAGAGACGAAACAGTAACTAAGTTTACAGTATGTCAGTGACTGAGGGTTATATTTCTCGATTTTATAGTTTTTGTTGGTTTTACGGCTTGGAGTTTTTTGTAAAGATTTGGGACATATTCAATAGATTGGTGATTCTGGCCAATGACATTCCTGATAATCACAAAATGTATCATTGAAATCATTCTTGACATTCCATCATTATCTCTGCATACAGTCAAACATGATTGTTGACCATATGTGATCGTTTTGGTCTCCATCTGTGGTCATCATAGCATTAAATTACATCAAAAGGCGTATAGATCTTGAACACATTCCTAAGTGATTGACATGGTGCTGATTTATACAGTGAAGGGATGCGATTGGATGGCTGATTAAGGCAGTGAGTGTCACCAATGCGGATGGCTACGTGGTGGATGGCAGTTAGGAATGGTCTGCGTTTCAAAGTCTCCTGTCCTGATAAACAAACACAGATAAACCAATAAGAAACAAGAGCACTCTGCAGCCCTCCAATCAAGGGCCAGTTTGGTGGTGAAATGCTGTGCAACATAACTTGAAGACAGATTTTGTGCCATGTTGACCCCATTGTGTGTATTTGCACATATGTGTGTACAGTATAAGAGCATATGTGTAAATATGTGTGTATTTGGTCATCCTTCTCCATACCCATGTATCCGTAGTTGCCATCTGATGCTATGCTGTCTGTGATGGCCTCTGAGCTCAACGTGCTGGCGTTGTCCGCTGTAGAAACAATACCAGAGGGAAACAACATTAAAGAGTGTTTGAACTGGTGTAAGTATTCACTTTGGCTATGCCCCAATTATCTCTCCTTCCTCCCAAAGTATTCACTTTCCTTCACTGATTTCAAGGAAATGACTGGTAAAAGAAATATGGTGAAAAGTGCAACTAGTCCATGACTCCCCCAATCAAATGCTTTTAGATTTGTGGGAAGTAGGGAAGGAGACTCATGTGCAGAAACAAAGGAATGAGACACACAACAGAACTATAACAGTGAAAGCCCCGTCATCCTCAGTTAGCTACATTGATTGTCAATATTTCACTCAAAACATTTCAAACATCGTCACACTTATAAAGAAAATGAGCACACACACTCACCAAAGGAGCCGTATTCATAAGGGGAGACTGGAGTCACACCTGGCTTTCCTGTGGTAACAGGTAGAGATAATGTCACAAACACACACACCCCAAACATATGCCACCATAGCAGTCAGTAGTCTACACCCTACCACAGCATCTAGATGACTGGTTAGCTAGAGGACACACCATGCCCTGTGGGTTCAGAGGCAAGGTTGAAAAGTGAGGCAAGGGTTAATGCAAGGGTGCTAATCAGTACCCTAGGGTGTGAGTCCAATGTGAGATAAAGAGTGACTATTGAAAAATAAGTCCATTTCAGTCAGACTCCAATTGGAACCAAACCACCGTAACCATCATATCATCCAATGCATGGCCATGGTCACAGTTTGACCATATAGTCATCCCACACCATGACACGTGTTTGTGACTGCACTGGACAATGCTGTTAAGTCAGGCAACTCAGGAAGTCAACTGAAATTCCAATTCAATAATTGAAAAAGGGGGTTCTATTTTCAATGACTTCTCAATAAACTGAGAAGGAGAATATATTTATTTCAAATGTTTTTCCATATTTTAAATTGAAATCACTTCCTGAATTCGAAATTGACCCCAACAGTGGTGAAGGTCATTCATTAGACATGCATGATGATGATGATGATTCCTCATCCACCCAGATGAAAAGCTGTCATCCCTCCACTGGATGACATCATACTGGTGATAATGACTGTGAGATGGGTGCAATAATTTATATAGCGTGCACAAAGGGTAATAAGTAGTGTGAAACAGTGAGAGAAGTTCTGTCACAGGCAATATCTCATTACTCCAACTCCATTCTTACCCAGTAGAGAGGCTGAGCCAAAGAGTAGCATGGGGAGAAAGCGATAGACAAATTCAATACACAGTAATCCTTCATCTTATGGGGCAACTGTTAATGGTATGCATCCATCTTAAGCTCATTTTCAATCTTAAATACGGAGTTACAGAGATAGTTCTCTCCCCTCTTCATTGTACACCTCTCTGATACAATGGAGTGTGCCATTGTAGTGGGTTGCTGGGATACCTGTCTCCGCGGGCGACATGTCCGCTGGGTTCAGAAGCCCCTCCCTCCTCCTGTGCATCCTGACCAGAGAAAAGACCCAGAGAGAGACACTTGAGTTCCAAAGCCTCTATATGACAGTGTATGAAATAATGTACTTACTGTATACGACAGTGAAGCGATCGACAGACCTCTTGTTCTCCACACAGGCCACCAGGAAGGTGAGCAGGTAGAAGGACAGGAAGATGCCCAGGCAGAATAGCATGCCCATCACGTACACATCCGCTGAGACGGAGAGAGGGGAGATAGAGTGAGATAGAGGGAGAGGGGGGGGGGATACAGGGATAGAGAGAGGGGAAGAGGGAGAAAGGAAGGAGAGAGGAAGAGAGAGACGAAGGAGAGAGGGGAAAGAGGGAGGGAGAAAGGAAGAGAGAGAGAGAGAGGTGTTCGAGAGAAATAGAGACAAATAGAAAGAGAGAGAGTCAGACATTAACATTTCTCTCTGCTACATTGGGAATTATGTACTGTTTGATGCAGCTGAAGTCCTTTGGCCTGCCAGGCTGAGTTACTCACAGTTGATAGCGGGCGAGACGACCACGTCCAGAGTTTTACTGCGGTTGCCGGCATCGATGAGTTCATCTGGACGGAGGGGGTAGAAGCGCAGGGGACCCCCACATGCCTCGTCCTCAGTCTTCACCACCACCACCACATAGAAACTGTTACTAGGGAAGTCCTTCCTCTGAGAGCCACAAGAGGAGAAAAGGGGAGAGGGGGAACAAGAGAGAGAGAGAGAGAGAGAGAGTAGATTAAATGGTTGTCCATTGTGGCAAGTGAGTGGTAAAAAATAATAATAATAATCAATTACCTGATCTCTCCAGTGTGTGTGTGTGTGTTTACCTGATCTCTCCAGTGTGTGTGTGTGTGTGTGTATGTGTATTTTACCTGGACAGTGATGGCAGCTGTCTTGGTCATGGTTTGATACATTCCAATGAAGGCCACGTTGTTATCCAAGTCATACACTGGGCACTGATGATAAGGTAAAACACAGAATTTAGCAATCAGAGAGGAACGAGTGTCTGTCGGTGTGTGTGTCTGCCTGAGAGAAGAACAGGAGCAGCCATGGCTAATGTGGTTGCCACGGCAACAGGCGCGCCTCTGCACTCCCCATCAAGTGAGTGCAATGCAGATTTCTATATTGGCCTACATTTCAAAGACCCCCCATGTGAGCTGATTACACACCAGACAGAGCTTTACATTGCGTTTTAGTAATGCCTCTTTCACAGCTTTAAGCTGCTTTAGGGTAAAACCAGTGCATTTCACAAGTTAATTCACAGCTGTCTAGTGGTTGATGGGTTGCTCAGAATGAACTCAACACTGCCCTTGTGTGGTGAATCGGAGGCTAGCCATTGGAGACAATAGGCTGATGGACCACAGCTCGGTGATGTCATGTGAGGTCAGAGGATGCAGGTAGAAGTAAGGTCATGGCAGTATTCATTAGGGTACACCATAGCAAAACGTTTTGCAACAGAAAACTAAAACAAGTGTTTATTTTAGCGTTTCTCAACAGTCCCGCCCCGTTTCAGTTTGCTTACTTCCAATTGGTGTCTTACAGAGTTGTGGACTCAAGTCACATGATGACTTGAGACTCGATAGAAAATAAAATAACTTGAGACTTGACTTGGAGCCTCAAGTCTCGGGACTCGACTTTGACTTGAGATTGATGACTTGAATTTATCTGGCCAGGTTTTGTAATGTTTTATCTGTCACTCATTTTGTGGCACAGAGTCTACGTTGATTATTCCACACGCAGCCAGAGACAGTACCCGCAGCATCGCCCTTGCAAAAAAAAACTGCAACAGATTGGCTAGTGAAACGCACACTCGGCACTCTGATTGGACCAGCAAACTGTCAATCAACACAGGTCGGGTGAGCTAGCGAACAGATTGCTGATTTGCTGTACAAGCTATAGGATCGGGTGCAGCACAAACGTCAAACTGTAGGAAGAGGATTGCCATAATAAATAAATGAGGCTCCAAAAATTGTTTGGTGATCAAGAATATGAACCGTTTACTTTGCAAGCTCATCAGCAATGGGGCAACAATTACTAACATAGGCCTACAGGTCTTTTGGTATGTAACACTTGCTTGAAATTCATAATTTGCTTATGAAGCTCGCATTTGGAATTTGTTGTTAAAATGAATTATTACTGCTGTGAGGACGCACCAGAGTGCTTTTTTTCTCTTGTTGAAATGTTTGCTGTTGCTTTCACACGTTTAAAATGCATAAGCCCGGTGGTAAATCTATATTCCATCTAATACTACAATAATTGCTAGCGTTTCATAATTCTATCCCTGTACATTTCGTTTCATGTTTGATAGGACTGCGATACCATTTCATTTAGCCAACCAGTTCTTACTCTCTGAGTGGCGGGATGTTTATTGTGCACATGAACATTCACAAGACTCATGAGGTAGAAGTTCTGTTTATTTAATTCAATGTATGGTTTCCTTTGTTCATATTTCCCTGGTTATGTCGGAGTTCCGTGTCTGTATCCTATTGCCGCGTTCAAAACAAATGTGAACTCGGAAATCTCTGACTTCTGATTTCAGTGCGTTCAAGACAACTGGGAACTTGGAAAAAACGAGCTCAGAGTGGGAAAAATCGTTTTGAACGGTCATCCAACTTGGAATTCCATCTCGGGAACTCAGGCCTCTTTCTAGAGCTCCGACTTTCCGACCTGAAGATCACTGATGTCATGATTTGACCTCGTATTTTTCAGAGTTCCCAGTCGTCTTGAAAGCACCATTAGTCTCTGTCATTCTGATTGTGTGTAATAGGAGCGTGCGCCTCAGTGCCCATAGAAATAGGCTACGTGGCCTCCGCTCCATGCTTAAGAGAACGTTGAATAAGATAAAATGATTGTCCCATGTATGCATGGTGTTGAAATATCATTAAGTCTGATTAAGAGAAATGTACCAATGTAACAATGGATGTGGAAACTGCCTTTTACATTGTAGAGCCAGTTTATAGGTTGTAATTGCCAAATTGGGTAATTGTATGGACCTGGGGGCCAAGTGCTTATATTATTTATGCAGGCCTACCTGTTTGAGATCCTGTTAAGACAGATTCGATTTGGTTTCTCAAGGGGAGGCTGTACAGTCTTGCCCCCTACCTGTGTCCATTCAGATAGGACAGGTTAAGCCTGATTCAGAGGCTATTTCTTTTGGGCTATTGCCAATGTATATTTGGTAAATCTACTTATACATTTTGTATGATATGGCACTTTCACCATTGGATCACCAAGACCTGTAAATAATTCTACACTCTGAGCACGTCAACCTGCCTTGCCTTATGCTGAGTTCATGCCCTTACGACTGCTACAAGGTCCCCATTTTACAATTACATAGGCTCATCAAATGAGTTGTAGACAAAATAATGAAAAGGGCTGTCCTGTAGCCTCGATAAATAGACAAAGATTTCTAGATGAACAAGTCGTTGCATGCATAGATTTTGTTTTTTCATAGATTTTGTTTTTTACTTGACTTGAAAACATATCACTCGACTTGCTCTTAGAATGCACGACTTGGACTTGACTCGAGTCTTGACCCGTTGTACTTGGGACTCGACTTGAGACTCGGACCTTGTGACTTGCTTGTGACTCGAATAATAGTGACTTGGTCCCATCTCCGGTGCCTAATGAACAGGTATGGTCAAGTTAGTTTACCTGGATGTCCTGGATAGACATGACAGAGCATGGGAAGGTCATCTCAGAGTTGACCTTCACGATGACCGTGTCCACTCCGTCAGGGAACACATATTTGAAGTACTGAGAGAGAAAAATTGAGAGTTATAATAAAAAAGGTCACATTTCAGCAGAGTTAAATAAATATATAATTTTTTTTATCATTTTCTTTTTCAAGCATACTTCCTAACAATACTATTCTATTATGTTGATAGAGCTACCGTTTTGAAAGACAAATCTTGCATAGAATACAAAACGCACAACATGTGTGTACACAAAATGTATGATGTAACAATACACAGTACCAGTCAAAAGTTTGGACACACCTACTCATTCAAGGGTTTTTCTTTATTTTTACTATTTTCTACATTGTAGAATAATAGTGAAGACATCAAAACTATGAAATAACACATATGGAATCATGTAGTAACCAAAAAAGTGTTACACAAAGAGATTCTTCAAAGTAGCCACCCTTTGCCTTGATGACAGCTTTGCACACTCTTGGCATTCTCTCAACCAGCTTCACCTGGAATATGCTGAGCACTTGTTGGCTGCTTTTCCTTCACTCTGCGGTCCAACTCATCCCAAACCATCTTCATTGGGTTGAGGTCGGGTGATTGTTGAGGCCAGGTCATCTGATGCAGCACTCCATCACTCTCCTTCTTGGTAAAATAGCCCTTACACAGCCTGGAGGTGTGTTGTGTCATTGTCCTGTTGAAAAACAAATGATAGTCCCACTAAGCCCAAACCAGATGGGATGGTGTATTGCTGCAGAATGCTGTGGTAGGCATTCTGGTTAAGTGTGCCTTGAATTCACCAGCAAAGCACCCCCACACCATCCCTCCTCCATGCTTCACGATGGGAACTACACATGCGGAGATCATCCGTTCACCCACACTGCGTCTCACAAAGACACAGCGGTTGGAACCAAGAATCTCCAATTTGGACTGTAGACCAAAGGGTAAAATCCCACCGGTCTAATGTCCATTGCTTGTGTTTCTTGGCCCAAGCAAGTCTCTTCTTCTTATTGGTGTCCTTTAGTAGTGGTTTCTTTGCAGCAATTCAACCATGAAGGCCTGATTCTCCTCTGAACAGTTGATGTTGAGATGTGTCTGTTACTTCAACTCTGTGAAGCATTTATTTGGGCTGCAATTTCTGTGGCTGGTAACTCGAATGAACTTATCCTCTGCAGCAGAGGTAACTCTGGGTCTTCCTTTCCTGTGGCAGTCCTCATGAGAGCCAGTTTCATCATAGCGCTTGATGGTTTTTGCGACTGCACTTGAAGAAACGTTCAAAGTTCTTGAAATGTTCTGTATTGATGGACCTTCATGTCTTAAAGTAATGATGGACTGTAATTTCTCTTTGCTTATTTGAGCTGTTCTTGCAATAATATGGACTTGGTCTTTTACCAAATAGGGCTATATTCTGTATACCCCCCTACCTTGTCACAACACAACTGATTGGCTCAAACGCATTAATAAGGAAATTAATCCACAAATTAACTTTTAACAAGGCACACCTGTTAATTGAAATGCATTCCAGGTGACTACCTCATGAAGCTGGTTGAGAGAATGCCAAGAGTGTGCAAAGCTGTCATCAAGGCAAAGGGTGGCTACTTTGAAGAATCTAAAATATATTTTGATTTGTTTAACACTTTTTTGGTTACTACATGATTCCATATGTGTTATTTCATAATATAGTTTTGATGTCTTCACTACTATTGTACGATGTAGAAAATAGTAAACATAAAGAAAACCCCTTGAATGAGTAGGTGTGTCCAAACTTTTGGCTGGTAGTGTACATTTTCTCCTGTCTCTTTCTCTCCATCTCTGTTATGCAACACCTCAACAGATCACGCAAACACATTCATTATTTAATCCCCTTCTTGGCCCTGGCTTTTAGACTTAGGCACTCTAAAGAGGTAGTACCCAATCGTCTTCTCCACCCACACACACCTCTCATGGTCACGTGCAGTATAAGGGTTTTACGGGAAATATGCTGTGTGCTTATGTACACACGTGTGTATGGGTGTGAGTGACTATGTTTCTTACCTGGGGTTGGGACGGTGAGGCAGTGAAGCTGAACTTTTTGTCTGTACTGTAATTAAGAAGACAAGATGACAGGAAACACTCAACAACAACATTAGCCAGTCAGGTCACACATACAGTACACCATCCCTACTCTATGAGTGATGCTGCTACACAGGGTGTGTCTTGGCTTGCTGTAGAAATAGGCAGTCACGATTGTGTGTAGGCAAGAAGGCAGTATTCAATGCAAATTAGACCAGCTCTGCACAGTAGCATAATAGTGATATAAACTATGATGACTCAGAGTATTGAATATGTACTGCTGTGGGAGACTGTGTAAGGGATGCAGCTCCACAACCAGATATCAGGTATCATGTATTCGCTCAGCTAGCTAGCATGAGGGTAATGATCCCTGATGAAGATGACTCACTGCAGGGTGAAGCTGTCCACGCGGCTGATCCTCAGCTGGTACTGGGTGCCCAAGCTGGAAAGAGTGGATACGTCCACAAAGAAGTACTGGGTCTCGGTGAGGGTGCGGGTGGGGGGCTGGCACAGCGTTCGGCCAACATGGGCATAGGGGTACTTCCTCTGGTACCTGTGGCAGGGAGGGGGGAGGGCAAAGAGATATCACTTCTCCACTCATTTCTGTATTCATTTTTATTCATCCAGGAAGTCCCATTGAGGTCAGAAGACCTCTTTTATAAGGGAGACCTGGCCAAGAAGGTAGCTCAATATGCAAATCATGATGACAAACTTGAGCTCATAGAACATAAAAGGCCTGTATTAGACTAGGTCATGTCCAAAATTGCACTCTAATCGCTATGTAGTGCCATAATTGCACTACTTTTGAGCAGGGTCCATAGGGAAAATAGGGTGCCATTTCATATTACGTAGCCTAAGCCATTTTAAGGTTGAACTAATCAACCATGACCATTGCAGACAGCTCATAACAGTGCCTATGATGCAAGAATTATGATAAGAACAGGATGACAAGAAAAACCACTGCTGAGAAAGGAATTGAATTGGCCTGTTGTGTCAACTACAGTCCCACAAAAAACTGTGTGCTAATGACAGAAAAACCCACAGTCTGCAACTTCCCAAACCACAACAACCTAGCTAGTACTGTAATTTATTTATTTATGATTATGGCTTGTGTCTATAGGAAATTAGGCCTATGCTTTATGTTTATGTGGAAGTGAAAGCTCAAGGTTCAACAATGACTCACTCTCAACTAGATGGCGTTACCACCTGACACAGGTGTTCTGGTATTGCGCAAGTCCATGGATTATGTTAAGCCATGAAAGACAGGCTACTGTAGCGTTTCCCAAACTCGGTCCTCGGGACCCCAAGGGGTGCACGTTTTGGTTTTTGCCCTAACACTACACAGCTGATTCAAATGATCAAAAACCAAAATGTGCACCCCTTGGGGTCATGAGGACCGAGTTTGGGAAACCCTTGCCTACTGTATAATAAAACAAATTATACACTGATCCAACAGGTAGGTTCTGCATGCAGGCTAAACACTTATATTATATAATAATTAGGGAGTGCTTATATAGTCCTGTTTCACTGTATGTTCAAGTGGGTAACCTGTACAGGTGTGAATTGGTAATGTGTTTTTTGCATATCCCACCCTCGGAGAGTGGCGTCACGGCCAGGGATCAGCCATTATTGACGGCAACCCTGGAGCAATTAGGGTTAATTGCCTTGCTCAAGGGCAGAATTACAGATTTTACCTTGTCGGCTCGGGGATTCGAACAGCAACCTTTCGGTTACTGGCCCAACACTCCTAACCGCCAGATAGAGGATTTGCGGTTTTATTTTTCTTTGCATGTCTTATTGCCCTGCCATCACTCTCTTCAGTTAACACATTCAGTACTTCTACTGCACATCTCTCTGTACTGTTTATAATACAGTGATCTCCAAAAGTATTGGGACAGTGACACATTTGTTTTGTTTTGGCTCAGTACTCCAGCACTTTGGAAATGATACAATGACTATGTGTTTAAAGCGCAGACTGTCAGCTTTAATATTTTCATCCATATTGGGTGAACCGTTTAGAAATTACAGCACTTTTTGTACATAGTCCCCCCATTTTAGGGGACCAAAAGTATTGGGACAAATTCACTAATGTATTAAAGTAGTCAAAACTGTAGTATTTGTTCTCATATTCATAGCACACAATGATTACATCAAGCTTGTGACTCTACAAACTTGTTGGATGCATTTGCTGTTTGTGTTGCAGATTATTTTGTGCCCAATAGAAATGAATGGTAAATAATGTAGTGTCATTTTGAAGTCACTTTTAAGAATATAATATGTTTCTAAACACTTCTACATTAATGTGAATGCTACCATGATTACGAATAATCCTGAATGAATACTGAATAAGTGAATTTGTCCCAATACTTTTGGTCCCCTAAAATGGGGGGGCTATGTACAAAAAGTGCTGTCAAACTGTTCACCTGATATGGATGAAAATACCCTCAAATTAAAGCTGACAGTCTGCACTTCATGTATCATTTCAAATCCAAAGTGCTGGAGTACAGAGCCAAAACAAACAAAAAATGTGTCACTGTCCCAATACTTTTGGAGCTCATTGTATCTTCAACCCGTGACTAAGTCAATAAATCTAGCCTACATAATGAAGAGAAGCATAGCAAAAACACACCCAAGGAGAAACAAAACCTCTACAACATCTAGAACTAGGCTACACAACTGTATGGCCTGTTGGTTGCTGTTGTTTTCTTTGACTGAACAATTTAATACCAAAGCATAACCACGTATCACGCTTCCCCTCCACTCTAGATTAATATGCCCAGGTGCATATTAATATATATTGACATAATAAAATGGTGTGGTGACATAATACAGGGACAGGACCAGGATGTGCCAGGGCTGCGTTCAGTAGGGCACAACATTGTGGAACGTTGCAGATAGAAATGTCCTGTATAGAGCCGACTGGAGTCCTTATTCTACATGTCAGAGATGCATGTTTGTTCTACATAACATATTGCTTCTGTCTGAACGTTCCACAACATTGTGCACTACTGAACGCGCTCCAGGTGTGCCAGCAGGGTAGGCTACTCACAGTCCACGCAGTATGAGGGGGACCTGGAAGGACAGCACGGCCTGCTTCTGTCTGACCACAAACAGGATGGGACTGCTCTCTGCCCCCTCCGACAGTACGTCCACAGTCACACGGACCCCCTCCGTCTACCAGGGCAGGGAGAGAGAGGGGGAGAGGGTTAGAGAAACTCACTGTATCTAAGTAAAACGACATACAGTACATACACCTGCACACTCAAATTTTGTATTGATAACTTTTTGCAATCCTAATTTACTATAAAACCAAATTAAGCTGCTCATAACAAGACAGTAGTTCAGTGTTCTTCAATCCTAGTACTGGGGACCGAATGCGCAGGTTTAATTCCAGCCCAGTACTAACATGATTAGTTGAAACAGGTGTGTTAGCAATAGGCAGCAACAAACGCCATACCGTCTGTGCACAAGCAGGATCGAAGAACAAAGTGGGATTTGTGACCTGAACTATTTACTCACCTTGTTTCGGGAGACGGTGTGATTGAAGGCGTAGATGGTTTGGTTGTCACTCGTAACCGTATCGTTGTAGGTAACATCAAATTCTGCATCTTTTTGGACCACCGTTTTAGTTTCTGCCCGTGCGCACCGCAAGTGGGTCACACATAACCACAACAGGGCCACATAACCAAGTCGGAACCAGACTAAAACTGGGCCAAATTTACAACAGCTCCTCAAAACCATTTCCTTGCGATTTGTCAACAATAGCTGTGCTAGCTGAGCAAGTGTATGTCGATCAAAACGACCAAAATGCACTTATTGACACGTTGGATGACAATAATAGCAATGAATGGCAAACCGACCCAGCTAACTAACTAGACTAGAGAACTCAGTTGTAATTTATCATTCACAACAACAGAACAGTTGATAGCGAACGACTAGCTAATGTAATAATCTAGCCAGCTAGCTAATGATCAATGTATTACATTCACACCGCTCCTCCTGTTTCACCATCACCAGCTGGCAAACTAGCCAGCTAGCCACTCCTCGGTACTGCGACGTAAACTAACGATAACAACACAGCTGTTAACGTTACTCTGGCTAGCTAGATCCTGAACGATTTAATATCCGCAGTTTTTACAGCTAATGTCATCCGCATTTTATCATTTAGGTTGACATATGCCTGTATAGTGTCGATCATATCAGGTACCGTAAAGTGAACGTTGTTTGCATCTGTTGAATCGACTAGCAACGACGTTTGAGGGATTAAATCGGTGTCACTCACACCCTCCCCACGCACGCAGTAAACAAACCAAGCACGGCGTAATGACGTCATTCTTTACAGCCCAAACATAGAAATAGAATACATATAACCAAATGTATTCCAGTAAATTCTGACATAAGGAATAGATGCAACATTCCTTTGAACTATTATTGTTCTGAGGGAGCAAGGAGAAACACATGTTTCCTACTGGAGAGTCAACTGGACTAAGCGAGGGTATCTCAAGAAGGTGAGGTCTGACTCTGGTTACACATCTAGACAGCATGAGCATTCCAGATGGAATACATCAAAGACTATTGCGAACTCTAGGTGTAACAGGGAAATTGTAAAGAGATGAAAATTCTTCATAATTGAGGAACAACACTTCTGCATTCAAATGTTGACTTTGCAATTATATCTGTAGGGGAAAGGTTTGGTTCTTACCACACAAATACCTGCTTGCTAACAAGGTCAAAGAGGCCAGAATTACACATAAGTATTTTCCTGCGAATCATTACCTGAAGAAACAAAACAAAAAGTCATGAACATTAACTGCACTTTTTGTGTTGAGAATCTAGAAACATTTTTACATTTATTTTGGCATTGTCTACATGTAAAGAGATTATGGCAAGATATTTGTAGATTTATAATTGATAATATTCTTGATGACTTTTGTTTGTTATAGGAGAATGTGCTGCTCAGTTTCCTTAACTATAATAAGGATAAAGAAAAACAATTTTACCTCTTACATTTAAGTGTGCTAATGGAAAAATGTAATATTCATGAATGTAAATTCACTAATAAAAACCACTCTTCCTTGTTTTCTATAAGGAGTTTGAGCAGTACATTAAGACCATTCTACATTCTTCGAATGATAAAGCTGTAAAAACAGTCAATATGTGTGTGTCTTTTAAGGGCTTTGTATAATCTGTAATTTGCAAATGGGACAGGGGAGAAATATAAATATATTTTATGGATGATGCACCATGCTGCCTTGTTCCGTGGTTGCCATGGTGCCGAGAGGCCGAGAGCTCTGCGAATATAGTAAATATTGTATTGTTTTTAAGTGTTTTATAGCATTTTCTTCCCATAGCATTTCAATTTATTTTGTATAGTGATTTTATTGCATTTTTCAATTTTTATAGCATTTTTAAAATACACTTTTTTGGGTTTTGATAACTTGTTGATAGATTAACTGAAATATCTGGTGGTGACCAATGATGTACAGTGCCTTCGGAAAGTATTCAGAAGCCTTTACTTTTTCCACATTTTGTTAAGTTACAGCCTTATTCTAAAATGAATGAAATATGTGGTTTTTTTTCTCAACAATCTACACACAATACCCCATAATGACAAAGCGAACACAGGTTTTTAGACATTTTTGCAAATTTATAAAAAAAACAAAAACAGAAATACCTTATTTACATAAGCATACAGACCCTTTGCTATGAGACTCGAAATTGAGCTCAGGTGCATCCTGTTTCCATTGATCATCCTTGAGATGTTTCTACAACTTGAATGAAGTCCACCTGTGGTAAATTCAATTGATTGGACATGATTTGGAAAGGCACACACCTGTCTATATAAGGTCCCACAGTTGACAGTGCATATCAGAGCAAAAACCAAGCCATGAGGTCAAAGGAATTGTCTGTAGAGCTCCGAGACAGGATTGTGTCGAGGCACAGATCTGGGGAAGGGTACCAAAACATTTCTGCAGCATTGAAGGTCCCCAAGAACACAATGGCCTCCATCATTCTTAAATGGAAGAAGTTTGGAACCACGAAGACTCTTCCTAGAGCTGGCTGCCCGGCCAAACTGAGCAATTGGGAGAGAAGGGCCTTGGTCAGGGAGGTGACCAAGAACCCGATGGTTATTCTGACAGAGCTCGAGAGTTCCTCTGTGGAGATGGGAGAACCTTCCAGAAGGACAACCATCTCTGCAGTGCTCCACCAATCAGGCCTTTATGGTAGCGTGGCCAGACGGAAGCCACTCCTCAGTAAAAGGCACGACAGCCCGCTTGGAGTTTGCCAAAAGGCACCTAAAGACTCTCAGACCATGAGAAAAATGTTTCTCTGGTCTGATGAAACCAAGAATGAACTCTTTCTAAAAACCTGTTTTTGCTCTGTCATTATGGGGTATTGTGTGTAGATTGATGAGGGGGAAAAAACTATTTCATCAATTAATCAAAGGTTATATTTGCTATTCTGTGAGGGCCTATGTTCGGAACCCGCTTCTGTGCTTTAGGTGCCAAAGATTTGGACATGATGCAGCAGTGTGTGGAAGAGAGATCCCACGATGTGAGAAATGCACTGTTGGAGCTAGAAACACAAGCATTTCGCTACACCCGCAATAACATCTGCTAAACATGTGTATGTGACAAATAACATTTGATTTAATGTGCAATAGGGCATAGTCAGAGGGAGTGTACAGTTGGAATAGAGAAAGCACTGTGTGTCAACTGTGGGGGTGCCCATGCACCTGGGGATCCGAAGTGCCCTGTGAGAGAGAGACAGGTGGAGCTTGACTGAGTTCGAGTGGGGCAGAAAGTTTCCTATGCTGAGGTAGTGAAGAGAGTAGAGGATAACCCAAGGGTGAGTGAGTCGACTGGGATGCCCCCAGTGAGTAGGCCTGAAGAGAGAGATCCAGAGAGGATGAGATTTAGTAAGGTTGGAATTCTTACGTTTATAGCCATGGTGATCAACTGCACTGCACTGATGGAGTGGATATCACAGAATCTAGATGTGGTAGTTGCAGCAACACAGTGAATAACGAATAACAATAACAATTAAAAATAACATGGCTATATACAGGAAGTACCAGGACCGAGTTGATGTGCAGGGGTACGAGGTAATGGAGGTTGCTATGTACATAGGTAGGGGTAAAGTGATTAGGCAACAGGATAATAGACATTAGCAGCGTGTGTGGAAGTGTGTGTTTGTTTGTGTGAGGTGTCAGTATGCATGTGTGCGCATGTTATGTGTGTGTGGGCGTGCGTATGTAGTGTGTGTGTGTGTGTGTGAATAGAATTAGTGCAAAAAAGTGTATGTGTGTGTTGGGGTGTCAGTGTAAGTATGTGTGAGTGTGTCGGTAGAGTCCAGTGTGTGTGCATAGAGTCAGTGCAAGAGAGTTAGTGCAAAAAGGGGTAAATGCAGGTAGCCATTTGATGAGCTATTTAGCAGCCTTGTTTAACAGACTTATGGCTTGGGGGTAGAAGCTGTTCAGGGTCCTGTTGGTTCCAGACTTGGTGCACTGGTACCGCTTGCCTTTGCCGTTGAGGTGAGAGACATGGGCAGCTTTACATTTATTGACCTGGAGGCAGAACTGAACTATTTCCGCTAGATGGGCCAGCTGCAAAGTCAAAATTGCCAATATTGTAAAAGTTCGGTTAGAGTTAGGCATTAGGGCTGGCAGTGTGGTTAAGGTTAGGGTTAGAAATGTTATGACTTTGTGGCTGTGCAAGCTAGTGACCACTCCACAGAGCTGCCTCCAGGGCAAGATTACATTTTAGTCAGTTAGCAGACGCTCTTATCCAGAGCGACTTATATGAGCAATTAGGGTTAAGTGCCTTGCTCAAGGGCACATCGACAGATTTTTCACCTAGTCGGCTCGGGGATTAGAACCAGCGACCTTTCGGTTACTGGCACAACGCTCTTAACCACTAAGCTACCTGCCGCCCCATTCATGACAATAAATGCAAACCTGCGAGAAATGGGTCTCCTAGAGACTTGACTGATCAGCATCCCATTGACAGCCCGACTAGGTCAACATCTGAAACTGACCCTAAACCTAACCTTCTTAAACCTTAACCATAACCCTAACCATAAATTAACCATTGGTTTTCTGGTCAGTCACATCCCCTTAGTTTTTCCAGAGAGAAATAGTTTAATTAATAGGTAACAACAGTGAAGTAGTGCTGTGTCTCTTTGGCAAGGTTTCTCATCAAATCAAATAAAAAAAAATTGTCACATGCGCCGAATACAACAGGTGTAGACCAGTGAAATGCTTACTTACAAGCCCTTAACCAACAATGCAATTTTAAGAAATAATGCAAATGCAAATAGTCTGGGTAGCCATTTGATTAGATGTTCAGGAGTCTTATGGTTTGGGGTAGAAGCTGTTTAGAAGCCTCTTGGACCTAGACTTGACGCTCCGGTACCGCTTGCCGTGCGGTAGCAGAGAGAACAGTCTATGACTAGGGTGGCTGGAGTCTTTGACAATTTTTAGGGCCTTCCTCTGACACCGCCTGGTATAGAGGTCCTGGATGGCAGGAAGCTTGGCCCCAGGGATGTACTGGGCTGTACGCACTACCCTTTGTAGTGCCTTGCAGTCGGAGGCCGAGCAGTTGCCAATCCAGGCAGTGATGCAACCAGTCAGGATGCTCTCGATGGTGCAGCTGTAGAACCTTTTGAGGTTCTGAGGACCCATGTCAAATCTTTTCAGTCTCCTTAGGGGGAATAGGTTTTGTTGTGCCCTCTTCACGACTGTCTTGGTGTGGTTGGACCATGTTAGTTTGTTGGTGATGTGGACACCAAGGAACTTGAAGCTCTCAACCTGCTCCACTACAGCCCCGTCGATGAGAATGGGGGCCTGCTCGGTCCTCTTCTTTTTCCTGTAGTCCACAATCATCTCCTTTGTCTTGATCAGGTTGAGGGAGAGGTTGTTGTCCTGGCACCACATGGCCAGGTCTCTGACCTCCTCCCTATAGGCTGTCTCGTCGTTGTCGGTGATCAGGCCTACCACTGTTGTGTCATCAGCACACTTAATGATGGTGTTGGAGTCGTGCCTGGCCATGCAGTCATGAGTGAACAGGGAGTAAAGGAGGGGACTGAGCACGCATGCCTGAGGGGCCCCTGTGTTGAGGATCAGCGTATCAGATGTGTTGTTACCTACCCTTAACACCTGGGGGTGGCCCGTCAGGAAGTCCAGGATCCAGTTGCAGAGTGAGGTGTTTAGTCCCATGGTCCTTAGCTTAGTGATAAGCTTTGAGGGCACTATGGTGTTGAACGCTGAGCTGTAGTCAATGAATAGCATT